TATAAAGACATATGTAATAAACCCCTAGAAAATATGTTTTCAACAGAAAAACTGAAAGTACTTATAATAACTGAGATACTTAATACAAATTTAAGGGAAATGATCAGAAGTGATGTATAATATGGAATAAATAATGTACTCTGAGGATAAACGGCAAATATCAACTCCAAGATATCTTAAATAAATACATATAAATTTAGACAATGCGCATTTTTATTTTTATTTTATTCGTGGTTCCATCTTCATCCAAATAAAATTAAGATAACATAAGCTAATTGGATGCTCGAAAAGTAGCGCTAAGATAACTTTAATGAGGTACATTTTTAGCTTGACGGATATGTCCACAAATAAAACTTATTTCCATTTAGTGAAATAAAAATTTGCAAGTAAATGTCGGTTGGCCATTCCACCACAAGAAGCCAACACACTGTGTAGATTTGATTTTTTTCTCAGGAAATTTTTTCCTAGGAGATATGGACCGTGGGATTTTGAGAATTGGCATTGTAGACACATTCTTAAGCGGCCATAGCTCAGGCTCTATAAATGATAGAAACTTGAAATTTACTGCGTTTTAAAAATAATAAGAATAAGAAATAAGAAATAGTTCAAATAATTAAGATTGTTTATATTTAAGCACTAATATTAATCGTTAAATTCTAAAAAAAATATTCTCTTTAAATATGTAAGAAGAATTTTCAATTTGTATATTTTATTTAGATTCAGTTTTAAGTTCTACTAGAAAATTAAAATTTTCAGGATGGCTTTATCCAGCACATACCTTCTAACTTTACGATAATTTCTACTTAAAAAATTAATATTTCCAATATGGTATTGTTTTTAGAAATATTTAAAAAAATTAATTTATCAGTCGTCTTACATGTCACTCATACGCACCATAACTCTGTTAAATCAGTTTTTCACAAAATAACAACAGTAAAATGTTTACTTTTAATTTCTAAATTAAATTTATCATTAAATTTTATATAAAAATGAAACTTTTTAGAACGTTATTGTTCTCACCCTAAACACCCTGTTTTTTTGTGTGTATATAAATATAATGGGAAGATCAAATTACCATGCAATGGGGCAAGTTTATTAATCAAATGCAGCAAAAAAGTAACTACAAAGGATCAGAAATCCCACTAAATATTTTAGAACATATAAAAAAGACAACTTAGGATCTTAAAAGTTGGAGATAATGCCAAGAAGAATCGACAGAGTAAAATATATTCAATAGTATTCAATAGAATGTTATAGCTTTAATTTTATGTTTACTTTTAAATAATATTAAGGATAATATATCGATTAATAGTAACAACATCAAATTATTTAACTCACTTGTTGTGTTCATCAGCCTTATTCAATCAGTTATATATAAACATATATTTAAGTTATATGAATATAAATAACTTATATATATAAAATAACATTATACATAATAATATTATATATTCAATAAATAAATAATAATAAATAAAATAAATATTATATATGTAAATTTTACGATCAGAATATAAACGGATAAATATCGTTCTATTTGTAGTCACTGTATCATAAATAATTAGAATACTTCACTAATATTAATTTGATAAGATTTAAATATTCTTTACAATTATTTTAATAAATTTCATAATAAAAACGATAAAAAATTTATTTTCTTTGAATTTCGAAACTACATAATTAACTTCTTAGAAAAATATAAATCGGTAATGAGTCTATTTTTTACTTTTACAAGCAGATAAAAATTGATTTGCTGCACTAAAAATCGAAAATGCATACTTGAAGTTTTTGAAGTACTTATTCTCCTTCACTTAAAATAAACACTAAAACCAAACAAAAGCTTTGGCTATATTGAACTTACAATCTCCTTCATACAAATAGTTATTTTGAAAATCACTTTTAGCTATATGCATCCATGTATTATAATTGATTTCTTTACGTAAAATCCAATACATATATATATATAAATATGTATTTGTATATAAAAATTTTAGCGCAAGCATTTACAAAGGAACTATATAATCTCAACCTTTTTTCTGCATTTATTGACCTTATTTTATCTGATTAAGTCTCTTTGTGAAATTTCATTCGATTAAGAGACTTATTTGTCTATCTAGTAATAGATAGACTAATAGGCAGATATGTTTACAGAAAAAAAGAGACAAACTGACAAATAGAAGATCAATCAATCAACACAAATTCGAAACTCATCAGAATTATGTATCTGTATAGTATTCAATTTCTTCCTAAATGCGTTATAAATATTTTAACAATCTTATGTATCTTAAAGTTGTGAAATTTAATTAAAAATTTTTGTACAAAAGTATATCAGTTCCGGCTACTTTAAAAATTCCTTGCCAGTCACCAATACATTGCTTCCGCTAACACCAGTCAGAAATTTCAAACTGTGATAGATGACCCCATACTTAATCTGTGCACCTTAAAGAAGATCTTACTCTTCCGTTATTATTATCTAATGATATTAATAAAATTTGAAAATAGTTTATTATCCCAAATTGTAGGAAAATCTTAATATTTTGAATGTTTGGAAATTGTTTATATAATTAACAGACACCTATGCGCTATACGGATAAAGTAAAAAGTTATACCGCAACTTCCACTAAAAGGTATATTGTTATGGTAAAGAAACTTATTCCATCCCAGTGAATTATACAACAATTATCTATGATACTTAAACCATGAAAGAACCCAGAACAGATTACAACTTATTGTCCGATAAATTGAAAGGCACCTCGTCTCTTATTGAAAAAGATGATGTGATCACCATGAACGCAAAAGTATGGAGCAAAATCATAGACTAATCAAGTATATTTGTAGCATTATGAATAAATGCTATTTTAGTATTTTTAAATATTTCAGTCATTTTAAAAAAAATTTTTAAAAAAATATTACTTATTAATATGTGTTAAATATTTTAATCATATTTTAATTTTTATAAAAAAATTTACATTACAGATCATTCGGTTTACTTTGTAGACCATCTTCAGTGACTGTAATGTAAATATTTTTTTTATAAAAATTAATAAATAATTAAAATATATAACATAAATTTAAAAGTGTTATTAATTTTTAAAAAATATTTATCATTTTATGTGTTAAATAAACAACCGATAAGCCCGTTAATAATCAAAAAGCTTATAGATATTTAACGATATCACAACATTTAAAGTTCGCGCAATTAGGTTGCAAAATTAGTATTATAGGTAGACATTTTTCTCACCTCGCGCTATCCAATTTTTTTTGGTACTACCCTATTATGCCTCTTCATACATTTGCCGTAGTCAATTAATTATAAACTGAAAATTAATCCACATTCAAATGGAAGATTCAAGATTAGATTCAAGAAGCATTTAATATATTCATAGCATATTATAAGAAATAATATCTCTCAGAAAGCTAAGAAGAAAAACACCTAAGAAATGCTTCTTTTTTGTTGTGATCGAACTTATAAGATAAAAATGGCCCGTACCATTTGCATGCACGAGTCGTTGAGCTGTACAGATTAAGAAGTCCCTACATTTTCAGCTCAAAATCCAAGAGATCCCAGTTACGGTATTCCTTCACAAGGCTGGTGAAAAGAACATAGCATGCTTTTACTCCGATTGCGTACTAAGTATTTCATTCACTTTAACCATGTTTATTGTTCTGAAGATTATATGTTTGTAGAAGCTTCACTTTTGAGTGCTTGTCAACAACTGCTTTAACATAGAAGAAGGACTGGCTTTCCTTATTAGTGTCTCTAAATTTTGTCTGATATCTACGAATCTTATACAGTTCATAATTATATGCTCTCTATATAGTCTAATTATATGGAGCTCTCAGTACGAATTCCTTGATTGCCTGAACCGGTTTAAGTATTCATGAAAGCATCCATGCCTCGTAAGAAGCTGCAGTAATTAAAATTTCAAATTTTTTAGTTTCCAGTTCTTTGATTAATCCAAATTTATTTTATAATATCTTGAGACAAGTGTTTAGTGTACAACATTTTACATACAATATTTTTATTAAATATTTATGGATAAGTCCCGGCTTTATATTCAATAGATACTTTGGTTATTAGTTATTTAATTAATATAATTAAATAATTATTTAATTATAATAGAGGAAATGAATTCAAAAAATTTTGTGATTTCGTACTCAAAAATATATTACTACTGTATTTTCTAATAATTATTATAATTATAATTAATTACAAGTTTAATTACACTTTTTTAATTTAGTTCTTGTGTTATTTTTGTTGTTAAGTTACTTTTTCAGAATTCAAAAGATATGTATTTTTAATAGTTTTAGAGAAAAAAAATTAAAAATTTTTGTGCGTTACTAAAAAACAGATAATCGGAAAAACTGCTAGACTTCAAGGCTTAGTTGGAACATCAACTTCTGTTTCTGAGTTTTTATAACTTTGTTTTATGTGATGCATATATAATGCAAAAATAATTAATAAATTATTTCTTTTTGCGACAGACATTTGTACTTCAATTTTTGATTTGTTTTAGAATTTTTTTATTGCCATCAATTGGTTTTCTTTTTAACTGATTGCGGATCTGTTATCACAGCCTATGACGATATCGACAACTTTATTCAACAGTTACAATTAAAATAGCAAAACAGGCAAACTTAGACCCGAAAACAGAGAAACAGAGGTCGTTCTTATCTGAGTCATGGTCTACTTTGATACTGGCAAGCGCTTACGTTCTGTTTTCTGGTATGAACAGCAGGCAGGTCTGCATGGTTTTCACTTGGTTTACGGTTGAGAGTACCGCGTATCGGTTAAGAAGGGGAAATTAATGCAAATTTCTGATAGTAAGCGAAATGTGTTGCGCTAGACTCTTTTCTAGGTGTACTCGCATTTTGATAGTGTGATGGAATTTTTTTTTTTTTCGTAATATCTTTTATGAGTATTGAGTAGTACAACGCTGCGCCTAGTACTCTTTGTCTTTGTTCAAAATATTTATAAAAGCCATGTTAACAATTAGGTTAATTGGTAGTTACAAATTAATAGCCAAACTGTGAGTGTTGATCGGTAAATCGCATTGTTGGCATCAATTCGATACGAATTAAAACATATTTAATATTAAATATATTCTCGGATTTTGTGCGAACTCTTTCAGATTCAAACGACATCAGCAAAATAAGGATTAAAAATATTTTTTTTTAAAATTTGAAAAATAATTATTTGTTATAAATTGTGAAATAGAAAGAAAACAAAAATCAAAACCAAAATGCATTTCAAAATGTTATTAATCCTGTTGGCATTTCTGACCATCAATAATTTATTCACAAATGCAGAAGGTAAGGAACCATAAGTGATAAAAAGATTTTATTTTTAATAATATAAAATTAAATTTCAATTAAAAATTTACTACAAATTTATTGTGAAAAAATAAATTCAATTAAATGTATATAAGTAATATAAAATAAACACGATTAAGGAAACTTTCTTCCGCAGTATAAAAAGTCTAAATTTCTTTTGGGACTTTTTTAAATAATAGAGGTTATTAGTAATATATTAAAAAATAAATAAATTATTAATTTTTAAAACATTGTATCAAATGTAAATAGTGTTATAATAAAACGACCTGATCTGTAAAGAAAGAAATTCTCACTACAATGGAAAAGTGTTTAAGTGCAAAAATATGGCTGCTAGAACAGTTGACCATTGCAGACATTTCGGATACAGCAAAATATAAATCATCAACGATCTTTATAAAGTATTTTAATTTAATTGTACTTTTAATTAACAAAAAAAATAATTTAAATGCAGATTAAGAATTTTACTTAAATAAAGATCTTTAAATCCATTTTTAATACATAAAAAAGTATATATAAAATGTAGAAATAATTTGTAATTTTTAATTCCACCAAAAATGGATTCCAATTTTAAAACATTTAATTTTTTAATTAATTAAAAAGAAGTTAATTGTAAGATAAATTAATTATATAATATATTTAAATTTAATTATATAATTTACTAAATTAATATAATTAATTTTATAGTTAAAATTTATAAAATTAAAAAAAATATAAAAATTAAAAAAATATTTATTTGAATTTAAAAAATTTAATTTTTTTAGAATTCCGTACAAATAAAAAAAAAATGTTAATAGAACGAATTTTTATTTTATATTAATCGGTTATTTTGACATTAATTACATATATTTGAAAAAATAAATAGACGCACAGAAAATGTATTTTTTTTAAGTTCTCTATTTCTCATGATTTAATTGTACTGATTTAGGATTTTATAAATTTAAACACTATACATAATCAAAAAATAAATTAGAAGGATATGAACAAAAACCATTAAATATTTTCATATATAATAATTAGCAAAATTAAACATGCAATTGTAAAATTGAGTTATAAATATTTGAATAAATTAAATAGCTTAAATGAAAATCTTTAGTATAAGATTAAATAAATATATAATAATAATATAAATAAAATTTATAACATAATAAATATAACAAATTTTTATAAAAGATATTAAAATATTAAAATTAATTAATAATAATATTATTAATATCAATTGACAATATTAATGTTAATATTATTATTTAATATTAATATATTGACATTAATAATAACTATATTATTCATATAATTAATAACTTTTTTATTAATATTAATAATAACAATATTATTCATATAATTAATTACGCTATCATTAATATTATTAATAACTCTATTATTAATATTATTAATAACTCTATTATTAATATTATTAATAACTCTTTTATTGATATTATTAATAACTCTATTATTTGTAGTATTAATAACTCAATTAATTATATAATTAAAAGTTATATTATTAATGTTATAATTAACTCTGTTTTTAATATTATTAATCACTCTCTTATTAATATTATTAATAAAGTTATTATTAATAAAAATAACAATAAAAGAAAAGAGAAATTTTCCAACTTCAACACTTATAAAGGTTTTATATATTTCTCGTGATTATTAATTTAAATATGTTAAAGATATAAAAAGTTTTTTAAAAATTAAACAGATATTCTATATAACAGGACAACAATTTGTTTTTATAAATAATCAAGTAATTATATATTAAATTTAACACGTCTCAGAGATTTCAGTTAATATATTGATTTGAATTTAAATAAATTATAATAAAAAAATATTTTAAAAAAATTTCTTATACATATTACATAAAGCATGTATATATTTAATATATTGCCTCAATCTATTCCTAATGTCCTTATGAGTTATATAAAAAAATCCTTAGGTACAAATTAAATGGTAAGCAATAATATAAGGTAAAATTTATAATATAACTATACAAAAAAAACCTAATATTTAATTTATTATTAAATTATTTATTAGTATTATTAATAACAGTTACCTATTGCTTCTACTATTCTGGGAATTAGACTACGGACAATTTATATGGCTATTAACAAACCTTATAATCTCACTGTATTAAAATTATGGTAGTTCTTTATCTTTCTTGGAACAGTTAAACAAAAATCAGTAAAGTTTTGTAATTCTAATGAAAGAATTAATATGAATATTAATATAATTGACTTTTGGAATATTATACATTCCTTCAAGTGCATTCAAGAACATAACACTATACATTATTATAAAATATAAATTATATGCAGAACCTTAGTCTTTTATTACTCAAAAAAATTTTTTTTTTATAAATAAAATAAAATATTTACTAATGTTTGGCCATTATAAGCAACAAAAAAAATTTTAATTATCCATAATTTTATAACATTTTATGGACTATAATTTTTAACAAATAAATTATCATAAAATTCTGTTAGACAATTTTTATTTTGTTATTTTTCAAAACAAATTTGACAATACGCTGTACTATTTAAGATAAATAATAGTAATAACAAAACCTTGGACCAAATCGATATCAATTTTTTGAAAAGCATCTGTAAACAAGCATTTTATTCATTATAATGTGATAATAAAATAAAACAAGATATCAGTGAACCATTATACACTTAAAGAAAAAACTTTTTTTAAGCTATATTTAAATGTAAATATTTTTTTTTATATTATTATATTATATCTTTTATATTAAATTCAATCCTCTTACATACTTATTATGTACTTATATATATACAATACTTTTCTTGACAGCTACATTGTGTAGATGCTATCTGCTACGACTTACGAAAAGTGAATTCATAAAAATTCTATTGATTAGATCATTAAGTTATCTAGCAACTAACTAATGTCAACGTGGACTGTCCCGCTCAGAACACAGAACTGCTTAACGCAAAGTTTTACCACTAAAAGTTCCAATTAGCTCAACTTTTGTTGAGCAACATTTCGCAGTTGTATTTTACTCGGAGCAAACGGACTGACATCTGTGTGCTATATTGGGTACAATTTGTTCCAGAAAAATTTCTGTTTTTTTTTAAAAATTATTAAATAATGAAATTGCAGATTTTTTATTTGCTAAAATATTTATTTCGCTCCAAATGCAGTGAGTTTTTAGCTCACTTAGTTATAAATATGAATAAGAGCAGAGCATTGCAATATTTTAAATGTTACAAAGAGATGTTACCCCTCATCTAGCTCTTGACATCAAAAGAATATTACAAACATAACCAAATAAACGGTTAATAGTCATTTATATACAGCCCGCTTTAAGGCGGAGCTGAGCATTAAAGCGTTAAAGACTAAAGAAATGAAAGTATAGCTATATATAAGCACAACTACATAATTACAACAATTATAATATTGAATAATTTTAATAATTAATAATATGAACAATATATATTATGCAATATATATTATTTTATTATATTATAGTATATTGAGCGGTGATAATTATTAATTATAATTAAAGTTCAAAATAACTAAGCAACTAAATAAACCACTAAAGTTATAAATAAATATATGCAGAAAAAAAAACTAATTGGAGCAATTATAATTAAAAAACAAAATATTTACAATTGATTTACAATTGACCATACACAGGATATTCGGACTTACGGCTTTTCCATTATTAACTATCAAATTGGAAACATAGTCACATACAAATATAATTAATGATCAATTTATCCTTTATTCACATTAAATTTTACATAAATCTCTCACTTCTGAAACTAATTCAATTCAGTTATTGTTACAAATTTAAAGAATAATACATATTATATTAATTTTCAGGATTTAATTATTGTTTAAATAATTTAAAAGTAATTAATAAAAATATAAAATCTAATAATAATATTCACAATTTTTTTTTTTTACTTTTAAAAAAGTTTTAAAGTGCTACTATTGTGAAGGAGACGATTGTAACGATTTGTCTGACAATAAATTAGACTCCTGTCCTAAAACAATTACTACAAATCCACCTGACTCAACAACTCCTGGAAATACTAACCCTACAACACCAACACAAGCTCCTGACGATTCAACAACTCCGGCTCCAGACTCTTCAACAACTCCAACTCCTGTCTCTACTGTCTCTACTGTCTCTACAACACCAACAACGATAGGAACTTCTTCATCAACTGTTTCAGTATCTGACTCTACTACAACAACTCTACCTCCTGTAACTACAACAACTGACGCTCCAACTACAATACCAACCACAGTAAACTTAGATTCTCTGCAGGAAATTAGTAAAAATGCGTTAGCAACAAATATACTTTTGCGCAACTATCGTGGATTATCCCGAAATAGACGCGATACTGATACTCCTCAATATGCTTGCTATAGAATTAACGTCACAGGTTAGTCGCTCAATATTTACTGAATGTATACTTATATACATTATATTTATATATATATATATAATTAATTAAATGAACTCAAAATACAATTTAATACAATTATAGTTGATGGCAAAACTAAGGATCAGAGAGGCTGTGTTGAATTCACCGATAAAGCTTGTGATAAGGTCAAAACCGATCTTGGAGCTACAGAAACTTCGGACTGTTTTACTTGTCAAAACGATGGTTGTAATGGCAGTACTGCATTACAAGTTTCCTTAGGATTTATTCTTATGGCCCTTTCACTTAAATTTATATATTAAAATGCATTTAATTTAATTATTATTAATTATTAATTTTATTATTATTTTTCTGTTAACATAAACTTATAGCCAAATTGTGTTTGATTGTTTTGTAATAATTAAATAAAAATTAAATGAGTCTGAAATAGTGCGATATTGGCTATGCCAAATCAGTAAAGAAACTTTCATTAAATCGTATAGATAAAAAAATCTTCAAATTTTATTACATAAATCAAACCAAACCACTGTACGATAAGTACATAGCTCTCAAATATGGACCAATAAAGGTAAAACTATTCTATATGTAGTTGAAGAATAGATATTCTTTCTATAAGAACTCATTTCAACTGTAAAAAAATACAACAAACTTCTTAGTGTTCTATATATAGCTATGAAAGATACATCTCTGCTTTTGTCTACCACAAATAAAATGTACACAGTTATCCAGCCAGAATTCTAACAGTAAACTAGTTCCTAACATAGAAATCTACAATAGGGCAGATACTTTAAATTTTTTTTTAACTCACGGAATAATACATATTGCGAACGTATTAAAAAATTTGTAACACAATTTATGGATCATTTTTATACACCATTGTTATTATATATGACAAAAATTAAATTTCTGGCATTTATCTTCATGGTCAAATCCTTGCTTAATCTTTAAGTTGATATTATATGTTTTTTATGAGATATGATTGTTTGTCAAGTAGTGCCAATCTTTTTAAGTTTTTAACTAAATATCTTCGTTTTGTGTTGCTTAAAATTTATCTAAAGTTTAATTGATTTTGCACTTAAACACATTGAAAACATATATAATACCAGACGCCACAGAATACTAAGTATCATAAACTTAATTGATCTCCATAAAATAATTTAAGTTCTTCTTTAATAAAAAATTATTTTTGAGACATGTTTATATATATCTTGGCTATTACGTTATCTGAAATGAACTCTTTTTAAGAAACTAATGCTTCTTTACTTCTCCTATGAAAAATAAAGTTCCTATATATTAAGCTTATGAGATCTTACAACTTTAATCCACTGACTTGCGAACTACGTCTTCAGAACATCATCAACATTTTATTGGCTACATACGAGGACCACTATTTATATTTTGAGCCTAATAATGAAATAATACTAACTTGTTGTTAAAAATTATTCTATTGTTTTTCGAAGTATTCTCCTTAATGATTAATACACTTTTGCAAGCGTTCGAACCATTTGTCAAGCATTTTTACTAATCTTCTTCAGACACCTCTAAAATATGGTTTTTAAATGCAACAATGTCTTCTGCTTCTTCCGTCGACAAAACTCATGAGCGTAGTCCGCACAATTGTTTATTGTTACCGGGAATAAGAAAAAATCAGGACTCATCAGTTTGGAGGATGACCCATTAATTCAATTTTTTTAAATATCCAAATAGTCGTATGTCGGTTATTAGAAGAGGAATTTGTTTGTTTTTCGTATTTCACTAAAGACTTCCGGTAAACAAATGGTTGCATACCATTTGGAATTGACCGTTTCTAATTTATGTAATGGTACTCGTATAGTTGCCATAAAATCAATTTTCCAGAAAAAACCAACGACCATTTATTTCGAAATGCTTCGAACACGAAAAACTTTTATTCAGTTTGGTTCATCTTGAACCAAACACCCATGCTCGTACAGTCGACGTTCCGGCTCATACACATATATTCATGATTTGTTACCTGTTACAATCCTATGCATTTCTTTTAAAACACCGCCATTGTACTTTTTCACCACCAATCAACGTGATCATCTTTTTGTCTTTTGTCAAATGATGAGGGATCCAACGAGAACAAACCTTTCTCACGGTTAAATGATTTAGGGTCTCCTAAATCTTACAGTATATCATATGACGATCTTACATTACTCGTATTAGTTTTTCCACAGCATTTATGTTTTCTGGCACAACAACTGAACAACTGATTTTGAGCGACCTTTACGAATTTCAGTGAGGTCAGTGAGCGAACTAAGGCCACGATAAAAATCATTTTACCAGCGTTTCACAATGGTAAATGATACAGATTCATCCTTTGCCACCCAAATATGGAAGTAAGTTGATCGATGCACTGTCGAAAAATATTTGTAAGTTGAAAATGACATTTTTAAATGAAGTGAAATATGTCAAAAAGTGTAAATATTAAAATAATAGGTATATCCCGTAAATGTGAAGATGAGTAAGCGGAAAAAAGTTTATGACATGGGTTTTGTCACTGTTTTATGCTAATAATTTCATTTCTATATAGTTGTTATATGTAGTTATATAGAAATCCTATCGGCAGACGAAAAAGTGAAGGAGAAAGAAGATTTTATAGTGGTCTTATTTCTTCCCTTCCCTTTTATCATACAATATTATAATCGTTTCATAAATAGATGTTGACGTATAACCAATTCTTAAATAATCTAACCTTACTCAAGTTGAAATTATCCAACACTGATTTCATTACTTAAGTCCTATTTCATATTTAGTATGTATTCTTTTAGATTTCTAAAAATTGTGAATACTTATAGTTCCACTGCTTGACAATTTTAAAATTATTAAGAAAATAATTTATTCTTTAATTTTTACACTTTAAAAATTAAATTAAAATTGAGCATAATTTTAGGATTGCCTGACATTAATTAATATAACATAATTTTGTTAGAAAATTTTATTTATTTTCTGAAATATGTATAATTGTTCAATATTTATTAATTTCATTACTTTTTGGACAAAAATTGACAATAATTATTAGTTAAATTTAATTTTATACAAACCTTGCAGTATTTTCAGATACTGTCAAATCAGCCAGAAATCAGTAATAGAAGTTATTTATAAATTTTTCTATAGTTTACATATCCTATATTTATTTAAATACTAACCTTAATGAAGTTTAAATTAGCTGGATTTTTATATTGAAGAAGACTGAGAATAAAGGCATAAATTTATTTGGCTTTAAGTATTTGAAATTCTATTTATTTCATTTTATTAAAAACTTTTCGGATTTGTATCTATTAGTAAGATACAATAGACACAAATGTAAGAAAATCAATGTTTTTAGAATATAAAAATGCAAATAGTAAAGAAAATTAATATTGTAGGATTTTACATTCTATTTACTCACTTTGTTGGTTTCATCAGCGATTTTTGGAAATATTTCTTGGACATCATTGTCTATAATACTTCAATTCCATAAGACTTCTAGTGTCAAATGTTGACACTTATATTTTAGATACTTGAGTAATTTTTAGGTAGACAATTAATTTGTTCAAATTTGGAAGACTACCAATTTTTAATTCTGGTTTTATCAACATTTACTAGCACTTACTGTGTTATATATAAGAAAAACGCATAAACTACTGCTATACACATATATGAACAATTATTATTGTTTTTTGTTTTTATAACTTTAAACATCATTTTAAATATATAACTGCTTAATAGTACAAATGAAAAATCTTAAAAAATTTTATTCGCGTGCTTCTCCTAAGTAAATATAGATAAATAACCATCAAAATAAATAACCATGCGATCAATAACACAAAATTGTTTAAAATATATATTTTCAGACCTAGACCAAATGCAAGTAACTTGAATTGGGTAGCTTGAATAATCAATAAATGGAAATAATGAAATTTAGTATAAATAGAACCTTTTGAAGTTATACTAAAACAATAGAACAAAGAACGCATTTCACCCATGGGATCTCTATATAACGGCAAGATATACATGTCAGCATTACTATATTGCTAGGTATTGCATTCTGCATATTAGAAAAATTTTCAAACCATTAATTCTGCAATTTTCAACACTCTGTATAGACTTAACGTTGTATATATATAACAACTACTATTTCTTTAAAGACCTGTCGTAATGTGTCATTCTTTTACAAACCGGACGGATTTTGGAAAAAAATGACCTCTTGATCTCCGATTTGGCTGAAATTTTCTTATAAGCTCTTTTCATACAATAAGAAGACCCGTACCTCAGGAAATATTTTGCAATTTTTTCCTTAGGAGATATGAATCCATGGGGTTTTGAGAATTGGCATTGTAGACAAATTTTCAAATGACTATATCTCAAGCTCTATAAAAGGTAGGACTTCGAGATTTACAGCGTTTAAAAGATAATTGATTGAATTTTTAAGAAAGTGTTTAAATAATTAAATATAAATAAGTGTTTAAATAATTCAATTACTAATATCAACAGTTAAATTTCCAGAAAAAAATTTTTCAAAACACGTCACCAAAATTTTTTTTCATTTTTTATATTTTATTTAGATTCAGTTTTAAATTTTACTGCGAAATAAAAATTTTCAGAATGGCGTTATTTCTTGAAATTTTTGAATTTTTTTTGAAATTTCCATTGAATGAATGTTCAAAGAATCTACTACAATTATTCTTATATAATATTTTTGATTTCGATTAGTAATAAAATTCTACATAAAACCCAAAAATTTCAGGACGATATTATTCTTAGAAGTACTTTTAAAAATTAATTTATCCTGCTTAATTGGTATTTTCGAAGGGTCACGACTTACTTCCCAAACGCTAGAAAGGATATGATTACTGTTGCTAAAAAAATTGCTTCAGAAAAAGATATATTATTCAAATTTAAAAGGCCAATAATCACTAGAAAAACATGACAGTTTATAATTGTACTCTCTCGAATAATATATAGGAAAAAAATAATTCTTAATAATGAAATTGTAGATCCAATAGTTGAAATAATATTTCATGTAGTATAAGCATCTGGACGGTCAGAGTATCGTCGGGGTGTTGTTGCTAGACGCAAAAAATGTTGGGGAAAAAATGTGCAATTAACTCCAATAAATGTAATTAAAAATTTACTTGTTAAAAGTTTTGCATTTATATATAATCCTGTAAAAAGAGGATTATGCATATGTTTGATGCCTATTTATTTAAAAAAAATGCTTTTATATTATTATTTTAATCATATTATTATTATATCTTGAGCATAATACCCAATTTTACAGATCTTCTTTATTACGTTAAAATCTAATATATTTTCTTTAGAACACTGACAGACTTAATTTAAATGACAAACTAAAATTCTCCATTGTTATACTTGAAGGTAAACTAACTAACTAATCATTGCTGAATAAATAAAAATAGTATG